TGTCTGCTTCCTGGTGGAAATATCAGTACCTGTCTTTAGACCCCAATGGGCTTCGCTGGCCTCTGATAAGGCAGTTTTGCACCTATCTGATAATAAATGCCACCAAGGTCCCATCTAAGAGCAGATGATATGCCTGTCATATGCTCTAATACCTTTTTAACATTAAACTCAGAGGAGATCAGTAGTAACCAGTGAAATGCAAAAATACAGAAGCCACAATATAGGGAAATGATTTAGAGAAAAATGCTTCCCTTACAGATTTGCTAACACATGTTCAGAGTTGGCTTTATCTGTGCAATACTCATGATGCAGGACCCTGATTTCTGTCAATCTCAGGTCCCTGTCTCTTCTGGCTTCTCTCTGGAATTGGGTACCACACTCCAACAGCAGCTTCCAGAACAGGAGTTCCTTGTTGCTGTCCCTGTGGCCCTTCAATCCAGTGTGGATACTCTGTCTCTGCAAGAGGGCAAGTGGGGATCTGGGTCAGGTGCAGGAGAGTGAAGGTAGGATTATTGAGACTAATTACAACATACAGTACATGCTCTTTTGTTGCCTACACTTTTCACCATTTCTCCCAAACAAAAACACCCTGATCTTTCTGGAAAGGGTCTTGTCTGCTATATTTCTGAGTCCTCTGAGGCTCACATTTCATCATGACCTGTTAAAAAAAAAACCCCAAAAACCTAAGTTTGCATTGATCCTAAAGGTTCATCTCTAAAAGCAGCACAATGTCACACACACCGTCTCCTAGTCTCAGACAGTCTAGACTCCCTTCTCTCTCAGGCCCACGGAGAGTGTGGAGCTTGTCCAGAGAGGTGAACACACTAAGGTGGACACAGCTTTAGCTCTTCCAATGATGGCTCGTCTTTACAGCTTTGAGTGCTGCAAACAAATGTGGATGTAAGTTGTATTGAAAAACAAATCACATTTCTGTACCTGTTTTAGAATTTCATGTTCAAAATAGGTCTATGCAGAACACTACCTGGGTATTTAAATCGTTAGTCAAACATTAGACTTAAAAAACCTATGCAAGAATAATCAAGGGCATGGGTGCCAGAACATTGTTTTCATATTGAGAGAGAGATGATTTCAATTTCCCGAAAGACATACTTT